CGTTTACACTCTCACTGGTCTGCTGTATCATGAATTTATGGTTTACATGCACGGCATTGTCGGTAAAATGTTAATTTCCACTTGTAACAGGTGGCCGAAAGGCATAGTCGTTGACTTAAACTTCACACAAGTTACAAATGAATTTATTTTAAATCCAGGTTATGCAGTAACGGATTAAGAAGCACATTAGCAACCAACCCTGCGGAATTATCGTGTAGAAAAAAGAAACACATTCAGAGACAGCCGTAATAAAAACACATAATAATTTTTATTGCAAGCTATCAATCAATTGTTCTATATCAAAGTTTCCAAAGTTGTCTTGAAACAATCCAAAATGAAAACTACCAAACTCTTAGTTGTGGATACTGATATGTTAGTTAATCAAACCTTATACTATGTTCATTAACATGGATACAACTCCAGACTATTAAATCTATTAAAGTAATACGAGAAATTCCTTCATTTATAGTTTTTATCATACAACTGTGTGAGCAAATCTTCCAGTATATCTCTTAGCAATTTAATGATATATTTTACTAGTCTTAATAAGTCTTCAATACAATTAATGTCTTTCGCTTTCCTCTCTTTAGACGATATACTTTATTAAAATGAAACACTGTTATACTGGATGAAAGATAGCGATATTTACAAAGAGTTCGTGCGACGAATCCTCTCGAGAGTTTGTAGCATAGCCATGCTGTCTTCTGGATAGTTAGTTGCATGTCCAATAGTCGTTCTCGATCGGCTGGAGCAAGATGACTCCAACTTGGAAAAGATGATGTTTTATATACATTTTTTCGTGTCTTTACGATTTCTCAATAAGTGCAGTGGATCTACTTTCGCAAGTAGTTCCATCAACTTAATTGGTACAAGTGGAATTTTCCACCGAACCACGGCCATAATACTTGTTAATTGGTTCGTACGGAACTATCTCTCGATAATTAGTTGTTTACATTGGTGTAAACATCAGAGATTGTTAACTTAGAATGTATAGAGACAAACCGTATAACTTCGGCCTTTTTACGGATGGATACCTTTCCACTTGTTGATTCTTTTCAAAGTTCC